AGTGGATTGCTCCAGGCCTAGGGAAGAGGCAGTCAAGCCAAATCCTAAAGGAAAAGTGTGCGGTGTTCCCAGGGATGCAGCAAAACCACCCAAATTGCCCTTCAGCCACGTGACACCGAGACAGTGAGGTGCAATAGGGCCCTGCAGATGAAGCAATATTATAAGCAGATAAGCAATGTGAGTGCAGACGAGGAAGGTATAAAATGCTCCATGCTGAGCCTACGTCCTTCGGTCAAGTCTTGTACTTTGTGGAATAAAACAGAGGCAAGCCTTTGAAGGGAAAGAAGTTGGCAAATGAGTGAGTGAAGAGACACTATTTTGCGGCGGTGTGACCAGACAACAGAGGGTAAAGAGGTGCAGATAAACGTTTCTGAGACCAACTTTGAGATTTTATCAGCTGACTGAGTCAATATGAACATGAGAGAAAGACTCCTGGAGGATGATCCTTTTTCTTTATTCCTGGGAAATTATGTCAATGGCACAGGATTTAAGGACACACTTAAGTCAAATGACTGAAGGATGAACTCACTGGCCTCTTCCAAACTCAAGGAGCAACTCAACAGTGATAGCAGCTCTGGATAAAACTCCTGCCAGGGAGTACTGTGTACCAGAACCGTGCCAGGAGGTGGGAATTCTTAAATGAGTGCTAGGAGATGAGCCATAGCCCATGTCCCCTCTCCGCATGGGGCACAGGAACGTGCCCAGGGCTCCTTGAGGGTAGCTCCCTTTATTTTGGTAAGAGAACTGTGGCAGCTGGAGCAGTTGTATGTGCAGTTTATGAACTTCAGTAGGACTTTGATGTTAAAGCTTGTTAGATTTTCTGGACTATTTAGTGATACATTGCCTCACATAGTCCTAGACCCCTGGAAAACTCCCAGCAAAAGATTCAGCAAAGGGAAGTCTGTAAGGGCTGCAGCAATTAAAATGAAGACATTCTTCACACATCTTTTTGCAATGTGACAAGAAATGCAATTCATCTAACGACAAAAATAGTCTAAAACTCTCATTTGCTGATGGTCTCTGATCTTGCAGTTAAAATAGGCTGCAAACTCTGTGGGGCTGGGTCTGTCCTGTTTGCTGCTTTTACAGTGGTTGGCATGCCAGGGGGAGTCTCAATGCCTCAAAGCTTGCCAAATTAAACCTGAACTAATTACTGCACAATTATATAGCAGCGAATAAAAAAAGATGTTACCATTGAGAAGAAAATAAACCATAGGCTCCTGGAAAGCACCAGGGACGTCAGTGTAACAAGCTTTGCAAAACACAGCCCTGGTGATCATCTGCCTGCAGAAATTAATACACTTTCCAACCAGCCAAACTGGCAAATCTTGCTCCAAGCACTTAAACCGTAAAATTGCTGGTTTCTGAGATCTCATCCTCTTACCTGACATCATTACCTCCATGGGCAAAAGATCCAAAGCAGGCTGTTAAGATCTGGAGGAAGTGGAAAAGTAGATGGACCTGAGACGTGTCTTTCTCTTCTTTGTCCTCTTCCACAGGATCAACTGGGGGCCGGTTAGGATCTGCGAGTTCAGAGGCCAACTTCATTTCCACCCCACCTTCCTCCGCCTCGATCTCCGCCTCGGCCACTGCATTGCAATAGCTGGAGTAGCTGTCATAGCGAACTCGCTTCTTGGAGTAGGAAACAGTGTCCCCCACTAACTTCTCACTGTCCTCTGGAGTTGACGTATCCGCTGCCTTAAAGGAGGAATGCACAGGCATACCACAAATAGCAGCTGTATAACAAGTATAACTGTTGTTGCGTCGTAACAGTTTGTAGTTGTTTTCTTGAGCGGGCCTCTCATCAGTGGCCCTGTCCAAGTGTATTTTGTGGAGTAAGTCTTTGTATAAACCTGAGTCCTTGTGCACAGTGTGATAAACATGGCCATCGCTCCTCATCTGGCCATCGAAGCTGAAGGTGCCATTGGAAACAGGTGACTTCACCGAGGTGTGTGTCATTGAAAATGCCCTTCCTAAAAAGGCAGAGATTTAGAGTTTTTATTTCTATGAAATGTAATACAGAAGCTTCTTCCCTCCCACTTCGCGAGACAGTAAAACGGCAGTGACTCAAGAGTACAGGGCAAAGAAAATCAATTTGCAATATATGCAGTGAATAAGCCAAGATTCAATTTACTGCAAAAGAAACTCTCTCATCTTCTGTGCAAAAAGAACTTTGTTGGGTCTCCCCCAGACACGCTGCATGACCTGCAGCAAGTTACTTGGGATCAGCTATTCAAAAGGTGATACTTGAAGGTTAAATCCTCAGGTTCTTCAAAAAAATAATTTCTATAGAATTCCTTTCTTGTAAAATAAGCTCTACTTTTTCTGAGGTTTTGTCTACATTGAATAGGCATAATAAGGATTTCAGGAAAGGTGGTTTACTGTAATTTCATACTGAATATGAGTCACCTTTCAAAAGTACCTATGCTTAAGAGACATTTACATAACTTTAAAAAAAATTTAAAAAAACAGAAAGAAAAAAAGTTCCTGTTCTGTAGAAATATTTCCTCAGCTATTCCAACATCTTGTATATCTTATTTCTATGAACACGATGACAGTTATTCCCACTGTATACATTTAACATTAGCGTATGCTGCAGGACACAAGTCACAGCTAAGGCAATATTTCTGAAGAAACTTTTTCATTTCCTGACGTCCCAGATCTCCACTGTGCAACGTTCAGAATTGGTTTAGCTATTTCTAAACGGGAAGCACACACTCAAAGGGATTCACGTCATGACTTATTTGATTTTGTAAGAATCAGTTGAATATATTAGACATTTATTAACCAAATTACAGGACTGTGTAGATGTTAGCAAAGTGATATCAATGTCAGCAGACCGCTAAGTGGGGAGGGTGTGATCCCACCACGTAGGGGAACAAAAAGAGCTTTATGCGCACAAGCCTACTTCTTATAAATATATGTTCAGAAAACAACGTGTGAGATTTGTCTAGTGGACAGGCTCCAAACGGTCATACGTTTGTCAACTAAAGCCCAAATCTTTTCATCTCCTGTGGTAGTATGCTAATCATCTTTACGCTGAATTTAACCTTCATACATCAGCAATTTGTGTTCTCTGTATTTTTCCACTGCTTAAAAGGATGGCTACACCATTCAGGATTCAAAGTAAAGCAAAAAGGAAAGTAATTTTTGCTTTCAGCTGCTTCTAAAACTGAAATACAGCCAAACAAAATGTAATTGTTTTTACGTCCTCTCTAGAAAATGTCACTTGTAAATGAGTATCTTCCCAAAAAGTGCTGAAGAGGGATTAGAGCTGTAAATCCTAAACATTAATTTACCATTTAAAACAGAGACCTACTTGCAGTTAAGAAACCCTATCGAAACAGGGAGAAAATAAACCCTCTGAGTGTCTTAGTTTCTTACCATATGGTACACGTGGATGGTTTCCATTTGCAATAGTATCTGATGCCCCAGGAGCTTCTGTTACTGAGCCAGTAAGGGGAATCGTGCTCTCATCAGATGCTTTGGCACCGGGAAGCTCTTTAAAGACTGGTGTTTCTTCATCTTGAATTTTATCAAGACTTTCATCTGATATCCTTGACAGTGCAGCATCTTTCTTTAACTGGCCTAAGGAAATAACAGTACTGTAATTTTAAACCCAACCTATCCGTCTTGCTGCTTATGTTTCCACTGTTTGCATCAACAGCATAGATCAGCGTGGATACAATAACCTGGCTCTGTTTCATACACATTCTTTATTTATTTCTAACACTTATCTTTACTAAATTTGTCTGAGAAAATTCTAGAGCGACATTGTTTCTTCCTACATAATTCGCCAAATTATGTAACTGAAGTAAAACACTGAGCTGCCCATTTATTAATGAAATTTGAAACTTTTCTCTGCATTTTAAAGGCTGCATTTGTTGACAGTAGCAAAGCAAACAAGCAAAACACTGTAAAGCCAAAAGCTGTGATCAGCCCAACTTACTGTAATGTTGAAGAAGTCACTTAAAGATAATAATTCTGCCAGATTTTTCCTCCTTAATGTTTCCTTAATAAAATATAAAATGCATTATATTCCAAGATTTATTTTCCTGTTTCTGCTAGACTGTAGAAGAAGTGAGCACTGCAATGGATTGCCTAACAAGGTTTTGAATTTCTAGCACTGCGGGTTTTTAAGAGCAGGTTACACAAATACATGATGAATAGTTTAAGCACATCCTGCCTGTGGGTGGGGACTAGACTAGGTGACCTCTCAAGGTCCCTTCCAGCTCTGAAATGAAATTTTCCATGATTTTACATCACTCTCATTTCATCAAGCAACTACTTACTTTCTATTTTTCTCTTCATCCAGGGGCACACAAAAATCCAGACTAAGACGGCAAATATTAACGATATGCCAACTGATATTAGAGCAATGGCCCACATTGGCAGTACCAGTCCCAGTACTGTGAAGACAAAGAAATAAAAGTCAAGCAAACCGTAAATTAACATTACTTAACTATCTCAGGCAGTGGAAGAGCAGTCTGTTGCAGAAAAGCCTGTGTTCACAACGTATTCCAAATCAACATAGAATCATAGAATGGTTTGGGTT